GGGTTTTAGGGTTTTAGGGTTTTAGGGTTTTAGGGTTTGAGGGTTTGAGGGTTTGAGGGTTTGAGGGTTTGAGGGTTTGAGGGTTTGAGGGTTTGAGGGTTTGAGGGTTTTAGGGTTTTAGGGTTTAGGGTTTAGGGTTTAGGGTTGAAGAGTTTTTGTTGTGAAGCCTCTTTGCACAAAATTAGAATGCTACCGCTGCATGCGCGGAGTAGTGCTTGTAGGTCCCCCAAGGTCCTTCGTATAGGGCAACCCCTATTCCCTAAACCCTAAACCCTAGACCCTAAACCCTGAACCCTAAACCCTAAACCCTAAACCCTAAACCCTAATTCGGGGTCCCTTATGTTCGTAAACCCCGCATATCGTGTCTGCTGTGCCTTGTATTTTAGGGTTTAGGGTTTGGGGTTTAGGGTTTAGGGTTTAGGGTTTTCCAACGCTCAGGAAAGCTTTCAGTTAGAATAGCTCCACATCCCGAAATTGTTGCTGGCGCCAGGGCCACCAGGGTCCCACCCTGTATGACTATTTGCGACGCTGCTTGACCGCAATGCTGGGTTTAGGGTTTAGGGTTTAGGGTTTAGGGTTCTGTCAGCTTTGCCCATCTGAGGGCCACAGTGCTCCGAGATGCAAATCGTGCATCGCGATTGAAGTCAGAAGTATGCTTCAGCGTTTTACCCGACGTTGCCTAAGGCCTCGAGAAGAAGGTGGAGGGGGAAGAGTTGAACGGCTTCAACCCCGGTTCCGGTGGTCACCCTGAATTCTGCTCCCGCCCATGCGTGCCTTGCCCGATGCAAAGAGACGCGGATGCAGGGTTGCGGAGAACCCTAAACCGCAGACCCTCAACCCATCCAAACTCCTAGCTGCAAACCCCCAACCCCCCGACTGGACGTCAGGTCATCGAGGTCTCAAGTATGGTTTGAGGCGTCCCACACCTACCTTGGTCAGGTTGAATGCGTTGGACCCTCATACCTTGCCCCAACAAGTGCTTCGATCCACAATTGGTCTCCTTCCCTGAATATTCAGACAGATCAGCAGCCTCTCAACCCTCTACTGATAGATATCTCCCGGAATACCACAACGCACTACACGGGGAACTTGGGGAACCTTCAAAATTAGGGGGCTAGCCGCCACGTCTGCTGGGCCTTTCCGCCCAGAATGCAACAGCCTTCAACCCTCGGCATCGGGGTTTCCGAAAGGTTGTACCCTTCTGGGGTGGTTCATATAGTCGGGGTTGATTGGACAACAGTGTTTCAAGCTTGCTACCCCTAGTCCCTATATAATCCTTAGGAAGCCATAAGAACTTATGTTTTATAGGGCCCCCGAGCCTACCCTAGTAACGACGATGAGAGTATTTTGGGGTTGTATTCGGGGGAAACCCCTACTCCCCTAAACCCTAAACCCTAAACCCTAAACCCTAAACCCTAAACCCTAAACCCTAAACCCCTATGCCAAGGCGTACTTCCAGCTCGGGTATTGCCGACCTTTCGGCGAGTGCAGGATGTGCCACTTCATGCACGAGCGCATCCGCTTGGACAAGAGCCTCGGCAGTGATGAGGGTTTAGGGTTTAGGGTTTAGGGTTTAGGGTTTAGGGTTTAGGGTTTAGGGTTTAGGGTTTAGGGTTTAGGGTTTCGGGTTTAGGGTTCAACCCTAAACCCTAAACAATTTGGGGGGTCGCTTGAGACCCCAAACGCTCGGCCGAGGGCCTCACAGCCCCAGCGCGCAGACGAAAGAGATAAGGAAAGGTGAGGGTGAAGCCTCCCAGCCTGTGTAGGGTTTGCGGTTCAGGGTTTAGGGTTCCCGCAAACATGAAGCATCGTATGCTGCCCGCATAGCTAGGAATCGACACCCCAAAACCCAAAGCCCTAAATCCAGGCCTCAGGATGTTTCTTGCAGTCTGGGATTTCTTACCATCACCAGCCCCATCAACCTTCCTCAACCTCTTAGACCCCCCTGCGGCCCTGTACCAAAGACCCAAAAGCACCCGCACCCTAAACCCCAAACGCCAAACCCTAAAACCTTAAAACCCAAGCCCCAAGCCCCAAGCCCCAAACCCTAAACCCTAAACCCTAAACCCCAAACCCTAAACCCTAAACCCTAAACCAGGAAGCAACGGTTCTGGCTGGAAAGGCTCTCAGAGTTCGAGTTGCTATTGCCCCTCTGGCCGGAATTGTGTGCCTCGAAGGGTATGTACTTTAGGTCCCTTATAAACGCAAAGTATTAGGGTTTAGGTCCCTTAAACGCAAAATTTAAGTATTAGGGTGTAGGGTTTAGGTCCCTTAAATGCAACATTGAGGTATTAGGGTGTAGGGTTTAGGATTATGATCTCATTATATGGCCCTTGCCTTCTTTAACGGGTTCTGAAGTGTGAGCCCTTGGGCTTGACATGGGAAAAAGGGTTCCGCAATAAAGGGCACGTAGAAGGGATCATGTAACTGCGTAGGCAGGATTTAGGGGGGTTTCTAGGGTTCTTCGGATCATCTTGGAACAGTTTCCAGGCTGCGTAGGCAGGATTTAGGGGCGTTTCTAGGGTTCTTCGGATCATCTTGGAACACTGGGGGTCGAGGTAAGAAAACTGGAGTTGCCCTGGGCCTTAAGGCCTGAGCTTCTTGGAATTTGTGTGTCATAGGTGTTGAAGCCCTACCTTACTTGGCTTCTTGCTTGTCGGGCGATTGGTTTAGGATTTAGGCCTTAGGGCTTTGAACCCTAAATCCTCAATCCTCAAGCATAACCCTAAACACTAAACCCTGAATCCTAAACCCTAAACCCTAAACCCTCAACCCTAAACCCTAAACCCTAAACCCTAAACCCTAAACCCTAAACCCTAAACCCTAAACCCTAAACCCTAAACCCTAAACCCTAAACCCTAAACCCTAAACCCTAAACCCTAAACCCTAAACCTAAACCTTAAGAGTTTACAGTAGCGGGGGGGGGGGGGGGGGTAACGGCCTAACGGGTTGCCAACCTCCAGGACTTTGCAGCTGGTCCTCGAGGCCAAGGCGGAACACGGCTGGTCCAGCCTCTTGCTCAGGGGCTCCTTAGGGTTTAGGGTTTGGGGTTTAGGGCCGTTTAGGGTTTAGGGTTTAGGGTTTAGGGTTTAGGGTTTAGGGTTAGGGTTCAGGGTGATGTGAATTCTGGCTCACCTTGGGTCACTAAATATCAGGCACTGCAATAGGGACCCTTAAGACTGTCATCAGAGAACCAACCTCTCCCCCCCCCCCCCCCCCCCCCCCCCCCCCCTCCCCGGCCCTTCAAGCTATGGGCCCATACTACCTTGCAAACAGGGTCCTGTATTGCAATCTGTATCCATAATTCGGGGAGCCAGAGATGTTCTACGTTCTGGCTCAGGCGTCGGGCCACAGCCTTCATGGGTTTTAGGAGTAAAAACGCGTGTTGCGGGTGAAGGGCTTGGGGTTCACGGCGTCGCTAACCCCTAATAAAACCTCTAAAACCTCTAAACCTCTAAACCTCTAAACCCTAAACCCTAAACCCTAAACCTCTAAACCCTAAACCCTAAACCCTAAACCCTAAACCCTAAACCGGCTTCCCAAACTTGGATTGATCATGCGCGAAACCGTGTAGCTCAGCTATCCAGCTGGGCTTCGACCTCCCTAAACCCTAAACCCTAAACCCTAAACCCGAAACCCTAAACCCTAAACCCTAAACCCTAAGCCCGAAGCCCTAAGCCCTAAGCCCTAAGCCCTAAGCCCTAAGCCTTAAGCCCTAAGCCCTAAGCCCTAAGCCCTAAGCCCTAAGCCCTAAGCCCTAAGCCCTAAACCCTGGCCCAGGCCACGTTGCCAGTATGAAGCAGTTGGTGCTTCAGCGCCGCTGCTGGGGCAGAAGCTGGCGGATAAGAGGGGCTCGTGTGCAGGGGTTTTAGGGTTGTAGGGTTTAGGTTTATAGGGTTTAGGGTTTAGGGTTATAGGGTTATAGGTTTTAGGGTTTAGGGTTTAGGGTTGAGTTTAGCGTTTCGGGTTCTAGCATTTAGGGTGTCTAGCTAGGTAGGCCCTTTGGGACATTTTGTATCTTCCCTTATTGGGTTTCAGAGGATCATATTCAGGAATGTTTTTTGGAGGTTGTTAATGGCCATCCTAGCTAGGGCTTGGGTTTTTCGTAGGGTTTGGGATTTTAAGTTTTAGCGTTTCGGTGCATGATTAGCAAAGAGTACGGTAGCATTACTATGGCAACTCTAAGTGGACTTCCTTAACAGCAGGCCCGCAGAGCGTTTTCCAACAGCTGCCAATTGTTGAAACCCTAAACCCTAAACCCTAAACCCTAAACCCTAAACCCTAAACCCTAAACCCTAAACCCTAAACCCTACACCCTACACCCTACACCCTACACCCTACACCCTACACCCTACACCCTACACCCTACACCCTAAACCCTAAACCCTAAACCCTAAACCCCAAACCCTAAACCCTAAACCCACACCCTGAGGCTGCACCCTCACAGCGCACACACCAAGCATCCCTCCGACGAAGCAGACACTGGGCATTTCATTAGATTGGGTTTAGGGTTTAGGGTTTAGGGTTTAGGGTTTAGGGTTTAGGGTTTAGGGTTTAGGGTTTAGGGTTTAGGGTTTAGGGTTTAGGGTTTAGGGTTTAGGGAAGTCTTCAGCTGCGTTGATTCTTTGGTACTCGCTCCGAGAGGCCTTGCGGCCAAATTTTTGAGAGCAAGGTTTAGGGTTTAGGGTTAAGGGTTAAGGGTTTAGGGTTTAGGGTTTAGGGTTTAGGGTTTAGGGTTTAGGGTCAGGATCAAGTGCCGAGGTCGTCCCGTGCGGTCGGTGCGTGCGTGCTCTGTTTGCCGATTTGTTTTGCTCTTGCAAAGGCATCCTTCTGTCATCCTTCCGATTCCCTTCTACATAGTCAAGCATTGTAGAATCGAAATTAAGATACATCCATGATGCCAAGCAGGAAAAGGGGAACGTTGAGTTCAGTGGGGTACGCTTGGGATAAAGGCGCCGATTTGCTTTGTTCAAGGCTCCATGTAGTCGGTCTCTCACGCCATGTACATCACGATTGGGATCACTCAGTTGAGCGGAGATGTGAGATACATCCAGGTGGCGCTGGACTCTTCAGTTGATGCGCTGAGGCATCAGGTGCACAACCTACTTGGAGTCTTCAAAGGCAGGTTGCTCACAGCTTCCGGGGATGTGCTGCGGGGCAGCAGGACAGTCGAGCAGTCGGGGCTGCAAAATGGCAGTCTCCTGACCCTCCACACAGAGCCCGTTTATGCCTCTGCGTCCTTGGGAGCTTTTGCCGCCGTCTTGGGCGATGGGTCCCTTGCTTGCTGGGGAGACTCTGACCGGGGCGGAGACTGCACTGCAACTCAGGGATACTTGGAAATAGTTTTTTTTTTTTTTTTTTTTTTCAAATTTTGGGTACTCTAATTCCTAAGAAAACAGCAAGAATTAGAATTTTTGCTGGGGTTTCCAAGTTCAGTATAGGCAAAGGAGTGTCTGCAGAACATGCAGGTCTGTGGAATCTGCTCTACGCGCGCAGCGTTCGCCGCCATCCTGGTGAACGGATCCGTGGTGACCTGGGGACGTCCCGAAAGTGGTGGTGACAGCAGTTCCTTGGCAGCCCAGTGGTACCCTCTACCCTTTTTTTGGTTCTGGGTTCCCTTATAAAATAGCCAACCCATAATGGTGCCCTCTACCCTTTTTTTGGTTCTGGGTTCCCTTAGTAAAAAATAGCCAACACCCATAAAAGGGGCGCCCCCTTTGTTGTAAGATGGCTACTGGGCTACAAAGGTTCCGTGCAGGAGCATCTCAGGGATGTGAAGCGCGTGCAATCTACGGCCTCCGCCTTCGCTGCGATCCTCAGTGACTGGGTTTTGGAGTACTACACTTTAATACTTTTTTTTGGTTCTGGGTTCCTATAAGAGCTACTTAAGCCTAAGAAGTATATACTTTTTTCCAGGATCTACTCCAAAGCTAAGGTGATGGATCTGTGGTGACATGGGGCCTTGCCGAGTGTGGGGGCAACAGCAGCGATGTCCAAAAGCAGTTGAAGAACGTGCGTCAGATCCAAGCTACATATTCCGCATTTGCAGCACTCTTGAGTGACGGATCTGTGGTAACTTGGGGCTTACCTGACTGCGGAGGAGATAGCACCGCTGTGCAGGAGCAGTTGCGGAGTGTGCAGTTCATACAATCTACAAGCTTGGAAGAGGGAAGCGCGTTTGCTGCGATCCTGCGGGATGGATCCGTCGTCACTTGGGGCGCAGCCGAAGGCAAGCACGTTTAACGTCCTTTTTAGGTTTAGATGCGTCGTGAGCTTTGGGCAGGTCCTGAAAGCACTGTTCGAGTTTTAGCACTTTTGACACGTTAAAACCGTTTGCTGAGCCGAAATCGGGGCCCATGTCATGGGGCAGTACCATGTCTTAGTGTACACATTTTGCTGTAGTGTGGTATTGGTGGTGGTGGTGGTGGTGGTCGTGGTAGTAGTAGTAGTAGTAGTAGTAGTAGTAGTAGTAGTAGTAGTAGTAGTAGTAGTAGTAGTAGTAGTAGGAGTTGTGAAGTCGACCAACCCGGTCTTGCACTAAGCAAATGCAAACACGAGCGGCCACGCTGCTTTTGACTTCGCGGGAACACCAGCTCAGAAGGTGCCCTACAGCCAAGCGTCCGGTCGGACCGCTCCGCAACCTTAAAGCTACAGAACGAAACTACCGAGCACAAAGCTACAGAGTAGCAGTAGTAGTAGTAGTAGTAGTAGTAGTAGTAGTAGTAGTAGTAGTAGTAGTAGTAGTCGTAGTAGTCGTAGTTGTCGTCGTAGTAGTAGTAGTAGTAGCAGGAGTAGTAGTAGTAGTAGTAGTAGTAGTAGTAGTAGTAGTAGTAGTAGTAGTAGTAGTAGTAGTACATTGTATTACTACTTGCATCCCTTGCCCAACCTTGGCCGAAGGCGGCGGCGACAGCAGCTCCGCACAGAAGCAACTGAAGAGTGTTCTGCACATCCAAGCAACGAACCATGCCTTTGCCGCAATCCTTGCTGATGGATCAGTGGTGACGTGGGGGAACCCTGATTTCGGCGGCGACTGCACCGGCGTGCAGAAGCAACTGAAGGGTGTGAAGTGCATCCAGGCTACGTATTCCGCATTCGCGGCCGTCCTGGAGGAAGGCAGCGTTGTCACGTGGGGTGATGCCGAATGTGGAGGTGACAGCAGCTATGCCCAGAAGCGACTGCAGAAGGTTGAATGCATCCAGGCTACACATCGTGCCTTTGCGGCAATTCTGTACGACGGATCTGTGGTGGCTTGGGGCGACCCTGATTTCGGAGGCGATTGCAGTGATGTTGAGAGCCGCTTGCTGAGCGTCCAGAAAATACAGGCTACATACTTCGCATTCGCGGCATTGCTAAGTGACGGTCCCGTTGTAAGCTGGGGGAGCTCCACATCCGGTGGGGCAAGCGATCATCTTACCAAGGAATTGAAACATGTCAATTCGCTTCAAGCCACCGACTTTGCATTTCTTGCCATCAAGGTTGATGGATCTGCTGTGGCTTGGGGGCATTCTGAACTGGGTGGCGACAACCACGCAGCGCAGTTTCAGCTGCGCGACGCCTAACCCCTAACCCCTGACCCCTAACCCCTAAACCCTAAACCCGATACGAGCCGATGAGTGGAATCTCGATCTGCTTCAAGCACCACCAGTGAGAAACCTCACCAGCTGCCAAAGACCTGCAGACTTTGCCCCAAACCCTAAACCCTAAACCCTAAACCCTAAACCCTAAACCCTAAACCCTAAACCCTAAACCCTAAACCCTAAACCCTAAACCCTAAACCCTGGTACGTTTCAAGGATCTGCTCCCCAATGCCAGAAATGCTCCCAATGCCGGAAAAAAGAGACTGGCAGGTTGAAGCCCTAAACCCTAAACCCTATGAAGCCCTACCCTAAGCCCTACAACCCAAACCCTAAAGCCTAAGCCCTGAACCCTAAACCCCTGTTCACCAAACCCCTAAGCCAAAGCCCTGTAAGCCCCTAGACCCTCAACCCCTAAACTCCTAAGCCCCTGAAAACCCCCGAAACCCCCAAACAGCCCTAAACCCTAAACCCTAAACCCTAAACCCTAAACCCTAAACCCTAAACCCTAAACCCTAAACCCTAAACCCTAAACCCTAAACCCTAAACCCTATAAAACCCAAACCCTAAACCCTAAACCCAAAACCCAAAACCCTAAACCCTAAACCCTAAACCCTAAACCCTGATGAGTCCAGGCGCAACTTGCTCAAGGCGCTGGTGCGCATGAGTGCGTCTCAGGCGGTGGCTGCAGGGCTTGGGGGATGAGGTTTAGGGTTTAGGGTTTGGGGTTTGGGGTTTGGGGTTTGGGGTCTGGGGTTTGGGGTTTGGGGTTTGGGGTTTGGGTTTTGGGGTTTGGGGTTTGGGGTTCGGGGTTTGGGAATTTGGGGTGTTACATGGGTGTTTGGGGCGTGTACGGGTTGCGCCTTAGACCTTAGACGTTAATTCGTGCTAAGCTCACAAGGTTTAGGGCTTGGGGTTTCGAATTTAGGGTTTAGGGCTCAGTGAACATCTTGTCTTGGTGGGAGACATGTACCATGTTCTGAAGGTCGAGGTCTACGCTCCTACATGTTTTTCAAAAGTGCTTGCAGCTGTTTCAGGCCATTTTTTACGCGTTGCTTGGTCTCAGGGCTCGCCTACTCCACCAGTTTACCCGTTTCGGGAGGGTGGTGATTCACTTCCTGAAGCTTCAGGGCTTGTCTTGGGTACATACGTGATGCGTATGTAGGATTACAAGCAGATAATGTTGGCAATTATGTTGGCTCTGGTTTGAGGGATGGGGATGACTCAACCTGCCACGGCGTTCCCCTCCCTCCGTAACACGCACACACGAACAAACGTACGCGCAGGCACTCGCACTCGCACTCGCACTCGCACTCGCACTCGCACTCGCCCATGTGCACGCCCACGTGCATGCCAACGCATATGCCCAAGCCCACGCCCACGCCCACTTACAAGACACACCTTGCAAGGCCACCCGTGACACCATATCCCCACCCTAACTGGAAGGCAACGGGCTGCATCACCGGCTGCACCCGTTTCAATCCTGTTCTCGCTGGCCTCCTTGATGAGGAGGCGAGGAAAGTGCAGGGCAGCCGGCGTGTGGGCATGTTCAGCAGTTGCTCCTCCAATAATCACCAACATGCCCAATGCTGTGGAAGATGCCAGGTCTTTCGTCAGCGCGTTCACCCACCCAGCACAGGCGATTGGGGCCGCAGGTAAATTGGGTTCGACGGTTCGACTGGGGAACGCGGAGCTCAACCCGAAGTCTCATGATGTGTGTGCTTGTTGCGACTGGTAGTCCATCTTTACATGCAACCTGGCCACCCGGATATTCGGATGCTCTAGCATCCTCAACACACTGTAGAGCTGCAAGCCTTAGACCTGAAACCCAAAACCCCACAATCCCAAGCCCTATAGCATGGAGTGGTTTGATATGTTGCCACTAAACCCTAAACCTCAAGCCTTAAACCCTCAACCCTCAAACCTCAACCCTCAACCCTCAACCCTCAATCCTAAACCCTAAACCCTAAACCCTAAACCCTAAACCCTAAACCCTAAACCCTAAACCCTAAACCCTAAACCCTAAACCCTAAACCCTAAACCCTAAACCCTAAACCCTAAACCCTAAACCCTAAACCCTAAACACTAAAACCCTAAACCCTAAACCCTAAACCCTAAACCCTAAACCCTAAACCCTAAACCCTAAACCCTAAACCCTAAACCCTAAACCCTAAACCCTAAACCCTAAACCCGAACCCTAAGCCCTAAACCCTAAAACCTAAACCCTAAACCCTAAAACCCTTCGTGCCGAGGATGACTGGCGAATGGCCAGCTTGATGGGATGAGCCCATGTCAGTTTTTGGGAGAATCCCAGATTCTGCTGTTGCCGTCTATATGTTCCACGGTTCCTTTTGAGGGTTTAGGGTTTAGGGTTAAGGGTTTAGGGTTTCTAAACACCCTGCTGCGGCACGTCGTGCTGAATAAGCGTTCGACAGGCTGCCTTACATTATCTTGACGGGAGCTCATGACAACCATGATGCACCACGGTGCACTCCTGCCTGAAATTGGTGATGCCCAATCTCATGCTGTTTTCGTAGGTTTTCCCAGTTTTCCTAAACCCTAACCCCTGAACCCTAAACCCTAAACCCTAAACCCAGAACCCAGAAACAAAACTTTCTCATTGGACTAACTAGCTAGGTGCTTTGGGCATCCGCCGGTGCACCGTAATGGTGCGCACCAGCCTCTTGAATCTTCGAATCCAGCTGCTCAAGAAGCAGCTGCAGCGGGATCGCAGATGAGCTGATGAAGAGAGGGGTGGAAGAAGTACTACTAGCATTCCCTTATGGCCCCTAGATAATTATACACTAGTAACCCACAAAACCCTCTTCTCACCACTATAAGACCCCTATACTAGGTTTTAGGGGTTTGGAGTTGAGGGTTTAAGAGTTCGGGGAGATGGCCCCTGAACCCTAAACCCTAAACCTAAACCCTAAACCCTAGACCCTAAACCCTGGACCCTAGACCCTAGACCCTGGACCCTAGACCCTAAACCCTAAACCCTAAACCCTGAGATGGCCTATGGCCTTTCCTGCTACAGCACTTGCAATGATCTCCGGGTAGAGAACCAGGCTGCGGATGGAGCCCACCGAAATTTCCGAAATGGGGGGGTTTAGGGTTTAGGGTTTAGGGTTTAGGGTTTAGGGTTTAGGGGCACCTTATTGGGGTCCTTCTTGTAAGGGGATCCCGCTATGTCGCGGTTTACTTTCAGCGTTCCATCTTCTGCCTGAAGCGCCCATCCCTGACCAGCTTGCACGGACACTGTAATTCATCAGAAAGGAAGATTGACTTTGACCTCGCCCTCTTTCGTCTGTCTCTCAAAGGTGTGGGGTGGCACAGGCTACCATGTTCTACAGGGAGTCTCGGGTTTAGGGTTCATGTCACCTGCCGCAGTAAGGACGCGTAAATTCTTGTGGGTCAAGGTCAGTCGTACAGCGAAACAAAAAGTTCCACCGTCTGCCTGAGCTTCAGGCCCAACGTGTTTGTACTTGAAGTCCGACGGTAGCGATCCGGAAGTACAGTGGCTGCGCCTCTGTTGTTTTGGTTCAGGGTTTAGGGTTTAGGGTTTAAGGGTTTCTTTGTTCAACATCTTCGCAGTTGTAGGAAGTCTTCCGGACCGCACGCGCGATTAGGTTCATTCTAGATTGGAGTGTCGTCCCTGTGGACGAGCACGGATGACTTTGGCCCCCCTGTCGAGGGCATTGATGTCCGAATTGAGTCGAACAGGCGATCCTCTTCCAGCCCGGGTTTAGGGCCTTAGGGTTAGGGCTTAGGGTTCAGGGTACCCCCGACAGGAGTTTTGAGCGCTGATGCGCTGATGTGCAAGAGCGGTGGACCAGTCCGGTGTTTATGGTGCCTGGACACCCATTTGAAGGATCAAAACGCCTTCTGGTGGGCTTGAGTAAGAACTTCACGGAGTCCAGATCAAAACGCAAAGAAGCAGGAAGGAAGCTCGCGTCACAAGGGCGCGCAGCATCCTGTTCCCAGCCATATACCTGCTGCCCACGCGATGCAAAGAAGGTAGCAGGTTTTGTGGGAAATTGTGCTAAACCCTCCTCAACTCTGAGCCAATACAAACACGAACCTTAAACCTTAAACCCTTGAACTCTAAACCCTAAACCCCTAAACCTTAAAGCCTAATTAGACCCAAAACCTTAATTAAACCCTAAACTTCCCGGACTGAAGGGGGAAGGCACTCTGGAAGTTGTCGCAAACCGGCAGTGATCTCTTCTAGAGGAGGGTTTAGGGTGTAGGGTTTAGGGTGTAGGGTGTAGGGTTCAGGGTTTAGGGTTTCGTACTTTGGGGTAGATTCTGGGGAGGTCCTATCTGTTGAATGCAATACCCACTCCATAGGCCCCGGGCATAGACGTGTTATTCAAGACTCTTCAAGACTTCCTAAACCCTGAAAACTAAGACCCTAAAACCCTCAAAACCTTGAACCCTCAACTCTAAAAACAAAGCCCAAAACCCCAGGTAAAGCATCCGAAGCCAAGATTTTCTGATCGTCCAAAGCCCTAAACCCCCAAATCCAAAGCCCACAACCCCAAGTCCAAAATCCGAAGCCCAGGATTTCTCATCGTCTACAGCCCTAAGACCCTCCTAAATCCCAAACCCGAAAATCCGTCGAGCTCAGGCCCTTTCTGCCTATGCCCAGTGGCTGGCGGAGAGTTTGAACCGCCACGGCGAGCGCTTCTTGAATCTTCATGCCAGACCTAACCCTACAAAACCCTGTAAACCCGACAAAACCCGAGAAGCCCCATAAACGATACCTCACAAAACCCTAAATCTTAAACCCATATCCTGTAAACCCAAGAAACCCTACACCTCCCAAACCCAAAGGAAAACTAAATCTTAAACCTACGCCCTCAATATAAACCTTATCAGCCCTTTAACCCCCATAAACCCTATACATCCTCTAAATAAACCCTGTACACCCTATTCACCCTTAAAACCCGATAAGCCCTGTAACCCCTGTAACCCCTGCAAAC